TCAGCGGGGGGCCGTCATTGCCACCGAGCTGAAGAATAACAGCTACAAGTTGGCCCGGTGGACCTGCTGTGCTTTGCTGGCCGGCTCTGAGTACCTCAAGCTTGGGTGAGACTCCTGGCCGGGACCTGGGAGCCGATCTTGAAAGGAGGGGTCTGCGGGTCGGGAGAGGAGGGCTTGCCCTTTCCCCTTTCCCCTGGGACGCGCATCAGGCCACATGTCACCGTTTCACTGATACTCGGCCCGGGGCCTTGCTGTGTCTCTGGGCCGGCCTGCCCCCACCGTAATACCCCTTTCCCCCCGATAGTTACGTGTCCCGGTACCACGTGAAAGACTCCTCACGCCACGTCATCCTGGGCACCCAGCAGTTCAAGCCCAACGAGTTTGCCAGCCAGATCAACCTGAGCGTGGAGAATGCCTGGGGCATCCTGCGCTGCGTCATCGACATCTGCATGAAGCTGGAGGAGGGCAAGTACCTCATCCTCAAGGACCCCAACAAGCAGGTCATCCGCGTCTATAGCCTGCCCGACGGCACCTTCAGCTCGGACGAGGACAACGAGGAGGAGGAGGAGGAGGAAGAGGAAGAAGAAGGTTTGTAGTAAGCCTCGCTCCAGGGTCTGGAGTGAGCGGTGGGCTGGCTGGGGACAGAGCTCTGTAGCCCAGTCCTCCAACCTCGATATAAAGCTGCTTGAGAATTCTGTGGGACATCACTAGCATTCAGTCTGGCTCCACGAGCTGCTTCAGGAGCCTTTAGATCGCATGCAAGGGGTTGAGGAGAGTGGTCCTGTAGAGGCCGGGGTGCGGAAGGAGCGCTGGGGTCCCCGATGTTAGCCAGTGTCTGAGGGAGGAGAGTGCTCCAGGTTAGTTACGCGGCCTGAGAGCTTTCCCTTGCCTGCTTCACCAGTTGGTGGCCAAAGGAAATGCCTGTTAGTCCTACAAGGACCTGTAAGGTTTAACTTCTGAGGGGAGGTGTTGAAAATCATAAGCAATTCACCAGTTCCACCAGTTTGACATGGCTTTTGTATCTTTCAGAGGAAGAAACTTAAGCCAGATGGTGATACGGAGCTGGAGTTTGCATAGCAAGGCCTTGGATGCTTAGTGGAACGTTTGTCTGATTCTCACTCTCTGAAGCTGACAGTTGGAATAAAGCATCGGTCTGTTTAGTCTCTTACCTTCATCACGTGCCTACGTCGTGACTGCCAGCCCCTTCCTTCTCCAGGTAGCCATTGGGAGAGGGAGAGGGGGAGACAGCAGAGTCTGGGGGGTTCATAATCTCGCCCCATCCTTTGTCCCTCCCCCCATTTTTTAAATTGAAGTAGAGTCAGTTTACAATGTTCTGCCATCCTTTGTTCTTGAGCATTAGGAGTTTTAACCTGTCACAGTGAATGCCCTGGGTTTTCCTATTCTTGGAATCCCTTGAAAGTACCCTTTCCTGGGAACTGATGTCCATGGTGAGGTCCCCACAAGAAGCCCATTCCCCTGGCAAGAGTACCTGCTGGCTGTGTGCCCGGCCCAGCTGCTGCCCGTAGAGACACACATCACTGGTGAAGGGTGATGAGGCGGGGCTGTCTTTGAAGGTTGGGCTGGGGTCGCTGCTGATGAAGGAGATGGCCCCAGAAGATTCTGATGGACGTTCCACTGGGTGGTGATTGTAGTGGTTTATAAATTGTTTGGCTTGGGCTGGTGATGAACTCTCAGGATGGCACCCTCAAAGACTGTCATGCACAATTCGGAGCTCCAGGTGTTTAGGATGTATAAACTTTTTACATGTGTACAGTGTCCTGTTCTTGACACTGTGAAGTAATTACCCTGCCAGGTTATTGCACTCAGTTTTTACAAATACCTCATCTGGCCCTGACAGAATTGTAATGCTGGTGGAAGTGATACCATTGTACAGAAGAGGAAACTGGTTCAGCTCAAGGAACATTCCCAAAGTTACAATTTTATCTAAAATAACTGAGCCTCAGAAAACACGCAAAAATTTATTGGACTTTGTTGTTAGCATTACTAGGAAAATGGAGCATAAACTGTTCTTCTTGATAAGTTTTCAGTGTAGATGAAGTGTTAGAAATTTCCCATTAAAGTAGTGTGACAAGTGTCACAGGGTTTCAGGGTTGAGCTGGTCCTCCCCAGGCCGCCTCTTGCACACCCAGGGTGCAATCCAGCAGGGTTAGTTGGAGCAGGTGGGCAAGTGGAAGTTAATTTCAGGCTCATTCTCCCAAAACATCTTGTGTCAACCTCCACATGATTCATTTCTTTCATCTATTCCCCTACTTTTATCTGTTCTTGCCTGGGGCCACCAAGTTGATTGCCGCAAATAGCCCTGATCGTAAAACCTGCTGCCTACAATCCAGGCTGAGCCTAGTCTGAAGGCCCCACCGTAATTTACCAGCCCTAATTTCCCAATGCAAAATAAGACAAGCAACTGTTTTTAAAGTTCTGAATTATTTGCCTGCACCCATTCTCATAATCTTCCCGACCTTTAAGAAGTAGACCTCCATACTTCATTTTTGGTTAGGCACTTTTGTCTGGTTTCAGTGTTGATTCAACAAATTACTAAGAGCCTCCTACATGTCATACTGGTGCATGAAAGCCCCAAGGGCACTAGAGTGAAGAAGATCACTTCTGCTCTAATGGAGCTTTTCTCTGGTGCTGATACAGGCTATGAAAGAGACAGATAAATGGCATTCCTTAGGGGGTACTTAGGTCTGAGAGCTCAAGGAAGACCTCAGGAGAGGTCCCAGGGGTGATTTTTAATGAAAAGAAGCTCCTGCCATGCAAAGCTGGAAGGTCAGAGGGTTCTTTCCACATTAAGCATGGCTGCCTTCCCACCAGAACCCTCAGCCCCATCTCGCTGGACTACTTTACCCCTCGAGTTTTCCTCTACCTTCCTCATAAATGCACAATTCTCATGCAGGATCCACATCCCACATCTGGGAAGCCAGCCCAGGTCATCCCGTTCACTTGAACGGCAGGTCAGGGTCATCCTGTCATTCTCCACATTGCCTCTACTGAAGCAACACCATTGCTGTGTGTGAGCAGTGGCTTTGTGTTTAAGTGTCTTTACAGTGTTTTTAGCCACTTTGTTTACATTACTAATGATGAAATAAAAATTGACATTTTAAGGCAAGATTAGGAAGATTTCAACATAAAACCCTCCCTCCCTCTAGTGTGCATCGTACATCTATCTGCATTATGTGTTAACCAGACCTCCCCAATGGCAGTGATGCCTGCTCAACCATAAATGTGCCAGCCACATAACTCCTTAGAAGATAACATTCATTTCTTAGTCCTGTAAGGGGTCACGATGACCCACCACTCACCTTGTCCATGCAGACATCTTTGGTGAACTTCGTGTACAAGGCCAGTATGTAACAGACTAGTCATGAACTGAGGAGATACTGGGCTGCACCTAATGGAAGTTCTTAGCTTAATAACTTACTTATTAATGTTACTAGCTATATTACTTGTCTCCTGCCTGTTTTATAAGATTACTGTTTCCTGCATTATCAAATGTGTGACAGAGCCCCAACAAAAAAAAAAAAAATGACTAGGCAACTTGAAATGACTGACCACATACATAATTCTAGGAGATCAGTAACTAGATATGGGAAGAAGCAACAAGAGGGGACCATTTCCTGAACTATAACAGACTAGTAAGACATGAGCCAGAGGCTCTTGGCTGCTGTTAATAGGGTCTAGTCCAGTAATAGCACATCAAGTGACCTATCAAGGAAATCCTTGCCTGACCTGCCTGAGAATGAGCATTCTTCGCAGTGTAGGACAGATCGGTCACAAAATGCCTCCCAAACATTAGTTGAAATTAAGACCGAAAGGGAAGGGATTATAAAATAAAGAATGTAACCCACCATCCAGTTCTACAACAATCAAGTCATTAGCCCCTGCAGTCACCTACAATACACCCCTACAACACACCCTGAAAAGAATTCAGGATGGGGACTTGGATGAGGCACTTTGTGTTCTATGGAAGCTGGCAGAACTGGCCCTCAGATATTTTCAGGAGGAAATGTTACAAACCCAGTTTCTTGCGTCTTCCCACACTTACAGAAGCACTAAAACGATAAAGATACCTGTTCCCCACGAGAAGGCTGCTCGATCGCATGTACCCCTTCATCAAAAGCACATATATACCGACCTTCTTTCCTTACCTCTTCGGAACAATCCTCAGAGCTTTCTTAACGAGTGTCTCCCGATTTATAATCCTCAGGTTGGCTCAAATAAAATCCTGTTTCTTCCTTAGACAATTTTTCAACACCAAGCACATAAAACATGATTCATGAATCAATTTTTTAAAAAAAACTTGGAAAGAGTTCATAATTTGGAGTTAAAGGGGGAGTTTTAATTCCACGCTCTACTTCTTAACTGTGATCTTAAGGAAATCACCTTTAAATTCCATTAGGACAGTCGGCTACATTACATTGGAAGCAATCCTGGCACTCTTCTGCTTGATGGAAAATTAAGTCACTCATGTACAGTTATTTGGTAAACAATACTGAGTCACTGTAGCGAACACTTGTTAATTGGTTTATCTGTCCTGGCTTCCCCAACCTGGTTTCCAGTGGGTAACCAACTAGTCTTTGGCTACATTAATGAAGTGTAACAGCTAGGATTATCTTCCCAAATCGTCTGCTCCCATGACTTCGTTACACGAGGAAAAGCATAGCTTTAAAGAGCCTTGGCCCCCTTGCCAGATGCGTTCTTCAGCCGGGCCACCACCGGCGGGCGCTCGCCAGCCCGCGGAGCAGCACGTGCCCGCCTCTCCCTGCCCGGCTGGCGTGACGCGCGCCGCCACGTGACCCCGCCCCCTGCCATTGGCCGGGCGGGAGGG